TCTGTTAAATCTGGGTAATTTACATTTTTATAGATATTCATCCATCTCATTTAGATTGTCAAATTTATTGGCATATAATTGGTCAAAATAGCTCCTAACAACTGTCTTAGTTTCCTCATTGGTGGTGAATGCACCCCTTTCATTTTTGATACTAGTAATTTGGTTTTCTTCTTTCCTTTTTTAAATTAAATTAACCAATGTTGTATCTGTTTTATTGTTTTATTTTGTATTTTCATAAAATTAGCCTCTAGTTTTATTTATTAGTTCTGTGGTTTTCATTCAATTTAATTAATCTTTTCTTTGACTTTTCAGGATTTCCAATTTGGTGTTTAATTGGGGATTTTTAATTGTTCTTTTTCTAGATTTTTTTTTCTGTTATTGCCTGCCTAATTCATTGATCTGCTTTTTTTCTCCATTTTATTAATGTAAGCAATTAGAGATAGAAAATTTCCCCTAAGTACTGCTTTGGCTGCATCCCATAAATTTTAGTATATTGTCTCATTGTTGTCATTTTCTTTAATGAAGTTTTGGATTGTTTCTGTGTTTTGTTCTTTGACCTACTTATTTTTTAAGATTAGATTATTTAATTTCCAATTAATTTTTAATCTCTCTTTCCATTGTCCATTGTTGAATGTAATTTTTATTGCATTATGATCTGAAAAAGGTACATTTACTATTTCTGCTTCACATTTGGTTGTAAGGTTTTTAACATCCTAATATGTGGTCAGTTTTTGTGTAGGTGCCACATATTGCTGAGGAAAAGGTATATTCCTTTCTATTCCCATTCAGTTTTCTCCAGAAAGCTATCATATCTAACTTCCAGAATTTTTTTTACCTCCTTAACTTATTTCTTGTTTATTTTTTGGTTAGATTTATCTAGTTGTGAGAAGGGATAGTTGAGGTTCCCCACTAGTATAATTTTATTATCTTTTTCTTCTGTAAGTTATTCAACTTTTCCTTCTGAAATTTAGATGCTATACCATTTGGTGTATATTTGTTCAGTGTTCATATGACTTCATTGTCTGTGGTACCTTTCAGCAAGACATAGTTGCCTTCTTTATCTCTTTTAATTAGATCTGTTTTTGCTTTTGCTTTGTCTGAGATCATGATTGCTACCCCTGCTTTCTTTGCTTCAGCTGAAGCATAATAGATTCTCCTCCAGCTTCTTACCTTTACCCTGTGTGTATCTCTTTGCTTCAGATGTGTTTCTTGTAAACAATATGTTGTAGGATTCTGCTTTTTAATCTATTCTACTATCTGCTTCCATTGTATAGTAAGTTCACCCCATTCACATTTATAGTTATGATAGCTAATTGTGTATTTCCCTCCATGCTATTTTTCTCTTGTATATCCCCCTCTCTCTCTCTCTTACCTCCCACCCTTTCCCTCCTCACAAGTGTTTTACTTCTGATCACTACCTTCCCCAATCTGCTGTCTTATATCAGTCCCCACCCTTCTATGATCCCTGTCCCTTTTTACTTCTTTATAGGATAAGATGGATTTCTATATCCCACATAATGTGTATGTTATTCCATCTTTGAGCCAGTTTTGATGAGAGTAAGGTTTAAGCTTTGCCCACCACCCCACCATCTTCCCCTCCGTTATAATAGCTCTTTCATGCCTCTTTTATGTGGAATAATTTACCCTATTCAGTCTCCCCACTCCTTCTTCCAGTGCAATTTTCTTTCTCACCCCTTTATTTTGTTTTTTGGGGTATCATCCCATCAAAGTCACCTTATATACACACCGTCTGTCTATATTTCTCCTTCTAATAAAGTTGTTAAGAGTTAACAAATATTATCTTGCCATATAGAAATATAAACAGTTTAACCTTATTGAATTCCTTGTTTTCTCTTTCTTGTTCTTTTTCACCTTTTTATGTTTCCCTTGAGTCTTGTATTTGGAGATCAAGGTTTTTATTCAGCTCTGGTCTTTTAACTAGAAATGCTTGGAACTCCTCTATTCATTAAATGTCAATTCCTCACCCCTCCCCCATCCCACCCCTCCATCCCCGAAAGATTGTATTCAGTTTTGCTGGGTAGGTGATTCTTGGTTGTAATTGTAACTCCTTTACCTTCTGGTCTATCATATTGTAAGCCCTCCTGTTCTTTAATGTGGAAGCTGCCAAATCCTGTGTAATCCTGACTTTTGAATTTTTCTTTCTTCCCCCCCCCCTTGGCTGCTTGCAATACTTTTTCCTTGATCTGTGAGCTCTGGAATTTGGCTGTGATGTTTCTGAGAACTCTATTTGGGGATCTCTTTTAGGTGGTGATGGGTGGATTCTTTCAATTTTTATTTTGCCCTCTGGTTCTAATATATCAGGGCAGTTTTCTTTGATAATTTCTTGAAAGATATTGTCCAGGCTTTTTTTTTTTAAATCATGGCTTTTAGGTAGTCCAATAATTCTTATATTATCTTTCCTGAATCTATTTTCTAGGTCAGTTTTTCCAATGAGAAATTTCACATTTTCTTCTTTTTTTTTTTTTACTTTTTTGATTTTCTTTTATTGTATCTTGATGTCGCATAGAGTCATTAGTTTCCACTTGTTCAATTCTAATTTTTAAGGAATTATTTTCTTCAGTGAGCTCTTGTACTTCTTTTTCCATTTGGTCAATTCTATTTTTTAGGGAGTTATTTTCCTTAATAAATTTTTTATATCTTTTCCCAAACAATTGACATTTTTTCATAATTCTCTTGCATTACTCTCATTTCTTTTCCCAATTTTTCTTCTACTTCTCTAGTTTTCTTTTTAAAATCCTTTTTAAACGCTTCCAGGAATTCTTTTTGCACATGAGACCAAATTACATTTTTCTTTGAGGCTTTACCATGTACACATTTTGACACTGTTATCCTCTTCTAAGTTTATGCCTTGATCCTCCCTATCATCATAGTAACTTTCTATAGTCAAGCTGGGTTTTTTTTTCTTTTGCTCATTTTTCTGCCTTTTTTTTTTTGAGACTTGGTGTTTTTATATAAGAGTTGGGCTCTGGTCTTGCTCTGTCCCAAGCTTTTTGTGCTGGGGCTCTGGGTCTTACTGTTGGCTTTCACTGGACTTCATGGCTTAGCTGCTTGCTTTCTCTGGAGGGTCGGCTTCCCTTCTGGCTTGTACTAGGGGGTGGAGTCTCCCTGTTGGCCTCCCCTGAATTTGGGGTTTAGCTGCTGGCCTGCTCCAGGGGTGGGGCCTTGCTGCTGGGTTGCTGTGGTAACCCAGCTGGTGACTGGGCCTGGAGGAGGGATCTTGTTGCTGTTCTGCCCCAGGGATAGGGCCCTCTTGCTCCATTGCTATGGAAATAGAGTCTCTCTACTGGTAGGCCCCAGGGGTGGGGTCTCACTGTTGGCCAGCCCTGGTAAGCCATGGGGTCAGGGGCTGGTTGGTGGTTTGTGCTGGGGTGGGACCTTGCTGTGTGGCACTGACTGCCCACTTGCCTAGGAGCTGCTGGTTTGCAGGAGGGTGGGGTTTGGGGCCTTGCTATAGGCCCCTTGCTATGACGCTGGCTGATGTTGTTCTTGGACCCTGCTCCCCTCCCACCCCCAGTGAAACAGACTCTTCCTGCAGTGCTGGTAAGCTGCTTCCCTGCTCCTAGATCAATTCTGAGGCAGTTTTTCTAGTTGTTTGGAGGGGAATTTGGGAGGCCTTCAGAGGGTTCCTTCCTCACCCTGCCATCTTGGCACCGGAACGCTTTTAACAAATATTCTGCATAAGATATTGTGCTAGGTACTGAGGACAGAAAAAGGAATGTATAAGACATAGACCAGTCAATGCAAGTCCATATCTGTGAAATAACTCAGAGCCAGCACCCTGTTCATTAGTGTCACAACCATGTTCAGCACCTTCGATAAAGATGAACACAGATAGCATCAAGGTCAGCTGCTGCACTGGGGGCAAATCATTTAACTTGAAAAGGCCAGAAGCCAAGGCTGATGTGGAGGGAGTGGTAGGGCATGATTTTTTGATCACAGATGATTGTGCACTGAGTGCAGTTTCTGAAGCTGAGATGCAACAAAGTTTGAATCTGTTCTCTACTACTTGTTAATTTGGCCTAATAATTAACACCAAGAAAAAAACAGGTTCTCCACCATCCAGCACCACACTATCCATACCTCAAACCATCAGTTATAGCAAATGGAGAAATTTTGAATACTGTAGATAAGTTCACTTGACAAGGTGCTTTCCAGGTATATCCACATAGATGATGAGGTTGACTCATGCATTGCCAGAGCTAGCTCAGTTTTTAGGAGGCTACGAAGGAAAGTATGGAGAAAAACAGGTATTAGACTACCTACCAAACTGAAGGTCTACAGAGCCATTGTGCTGACCTCATTGTTGTATGCCTATGAAACCTGGACAGTATACCAGCTCCATGCCAAGAAACTGAATCGCTTCCATATGAATTGTCTTAGGAAGATTCTGAAGATCACCTCTCAAGATAAGGTATTGGACACTGAGCTCTTTTTTCAAACTAAACTGCCAAGCATTCAAATTCTACTGCCAAGAGTGAAACTCTGATAGGCTGGCCATGTTGTTCAAATGCTAAACATGTGTTTGCCTAAAAGACTATTTTATGGAGAACTCACGCCAAAAAGGTGCTTACATGATGATCAGAAGAAGTGATGCAGGGACACTCTCAAGTTCTCTCTGAAGAACTGGAATCAATTATGTGACATGGGAGATGCTAGCAAAGCACCGCCCAGATGGCATGTCCCCATAAAAGAAGGCACTGTGCTCTGTGAGCAAAGCAGAATTGCAGTAGCTCAAAAGAAATATGAGAAGGGCAAATTAGAGACATCTCCACTCCAAATGTTCACATAGACTGTTTGTGCTCACCCTCAGACACATTATACCTTGACTCCAACATAATGATGTCATTTTGGTCCTCTTCAAGAACAAAAGACAACCACAAACCATGATAATACTGTAATTGATGGGTGGATGTATCCATGAATATTTTACATCTAATAGCTGAAAATTATTTGATTTTTTTTAACATGTTTGTTTTTAGGTGCCTGTCCCACCAATTTTGGGATTTTACCAATTGAAGGAAGAAGATTCACAGTTAAAAATATCTGTCCATTTAAAACTTCATGAAAGTGTGAAAAATTGCTTTGAATACTGTGAAGCTCATATACCTTTTTATAACAGGTAGGAATAATGTAGTGACATGGTTTCTCTATTTTTGTAATATTCTCTTTAAAGAATGTTTGTTTAGGCAAGTAAAGACTCTCATGCTAATCTAATGATGTTGGTTTTTAAACTATAATTATAAAATCACAGAATCACAGATTTTGAGAGTTGGAAGTGACTCTAGCAGCCCATCTAATCCAAGGTATATCCAAAAACAGCCCCTACTATAACATACCTGACAAGTATTCATCGTGTCTCTGAAGACCCCTGAAAGAGGGAGCCCGCCTCCTATGCCAGGTGTCCATTCCACTGTTGGACATCTCTTACGGACAGGAAGGTTGACCTCTTTGCAGTTTCTGTCTCCTGCTCCTAGTTCTGCCCTCTGGGGCCAAACAGAACAAGTCCAATTCCTTAAAGTCCTTGAAGGGAGCTGTTATATCAGCCCACATCTTCTTTTGGCTAAACGTCCCCAGTCCTTCAGCTGATTCTCACATGTCGTAGATTCAAGGCCCTTCACCATCCTGACTGCTCTGCAGCCTGTCTTACTAGATTCAGTTCACTGTTCCAGGCTTTCAGTCCTTTTGGATCCCAGCTTTCTGATCCAACTATATTACCTATCCCTACTGGTTTTGTGTCATCTTCAAATTTGATAGATATACCACATATGCTTTTATCTAAGTCTGATAGAAATGGTAAACAGCACAAAATTCCATTTTTAGCTTTAATTTTTTTCTCTATTTTTCCTGATTGTGAATGCTAGTCACTAGTAAATATAAGCCATAGCAGACTCCTGTTTCCAGAGAGTGCTCTGTCTTCCAGCAATTATTCTGTATCCTTATGTACATGTCTGGCCATGCTGTCAACTAACCATCTGGTGAATTAAGCTGATTAGGTTTCAAGGTTACTTCTTCACCATTTTCTGTTTTTAAATTTATTCTGAAACATAGTTCTTCTCAAAATGACCTAAATAGATAGAATCATATTATGTACATATGTGTTTTTATGATCATTGCTATGTACATTTATTAGGCTTTCTAGTTGTTTTTAGAATCAGTGAAAGAATATATGAAATATTTGGGAGACTGCGGATACTTTAATTATTTCAACAAGCTAAGAATGATTGAGCCACCTAGAACTCATCATTAGAGCCCTAATGTCCATTCATAAGATCATAGTCGTCTAGTCTGATGCCATTATTTTAAAGATGAGGAAATCAAATCTCAGAGACTAGGTAAACTACCCAATGTCACAGATGTAATGAGTGAACCAGAATTCAAAGTGAGGTCCTCTAACTCAAAACCCAGGTTGGAAGTCAAACAAATTAGATATTTGAACTTGAGTTATCCTTACGTTAAGTATCGGTATCATTTTTTGCTTATTTTTCTGTGAACTGTGTGTAGCTTTATTTATATAATAACTCTTTAAAACTTTGCATTTTCAGAGGTCCAATCACCCATTTGGAATACAAAGTTAGCTTTGGCCAGGTAGAAGTATTACGAGAGAAAAGCTTATTAATCTGGATTATAGGTGAGTTGCTTTTTTTCTTCTTTTTCCTCTTTTATCTATTGCAGGTGCCTGTTAATATGGAGTGGTTGGTTGATGATATTTCTGTTTTCAGGGCAAAAGTTCCCCAAGTCACTGGAAATTAATCTTTCTGGAGCTGTGAATTTTAATACTATGAGTCATCAAAAACAACCAGTTGACACTATTTGCATTGGGGGTACAACATATGTAAAAGTAAGTTGTTGAATATGTTTGTGTGAGTAAACTACATTAAAAACCTCTCCTTCAAACAAAAAAAGACATAAAAAGAAAAGCTATGAAATTAAAAGCAAAGAGATTGTCAGACGGAACAGTTAGTTATAAAGATTATACATATGGATGGTGGTATAAGCTACTGGCAATCTAATAGCAAAAAAAGAGAATCTGTTCCATAAGGAGACAAAAAAAAAGGGTAGATGTGCAGTTGCAGTTTAGATGCAAACAGTTCTGTACACTTTAATAGCCACTATAAGAATTGTCCTAGCAATACCAAACATAGTTCAGATATAGAATTTAGAGACAAACATTCCTAGATGCATTTGTATAATCCCTACCAGCTATAAAGGGCTGCTAGTGGTTAGAGTGCCAGGCCTGGAGTCCAGATGACTCGTCTTCCTGAATTCAAATCCGGCCTCAGATACTTATTAGCTGTGTGACCTTGGACAAGTCACTTAAACCTGTTTGCCTCAGTTTCCTCCACTGTAAAACTAGCTTGAGGAGAAAATGGCAAACCACTCCAGTATCTCTGCCAAAAAAACCCCAGGTGGGGTCCTGAAGAGTCAGACACGACTGAAATGACTGGACAACAACAAACCATCTGTAAGACAGTTCCGCAGTGTAGCAGTGAATAGCTGTACATAAGGTGCCACCTTTCAGCACAGTGTGATAGAATGATGGTTCATGTGATGACAGATCATAAAGGAAACCTTGCTGATATGTAATGTACTGCGTTTCTCCCTTCACAACATCTCCCGTGTATATCGCCTTCCTTCCACTCACGTATCCACCATTCTAGCATAGACCCTCATCACATCTCTCCTAGACTGGGACAGTAGCCCTCTCATTGATCTCCTTGCCGCTTGTCTCATTTGACTGCAGTTCACCCTCCTCTTAATTTTTAAAGTGATTTAAAGTGTAGCTCTGACCAGTTAGCCTGCTCCCTGGCACACAGTAAGTGCTTAATAAATGCTTGATGACTAACTAATCTTGTGATTCTCCCTACTCAATAAATTGCAAGGAGTTCCCTTTACCTCCAGGGTCAAATATCAAGTCCTTTGTTTGGCATTTAAGGCTTTTTACAATCTGACCTCTTACAGTTTACTCCCTTTCACAACTTCTTTCCAGTTACACACATGATACTCCATCTTTCATCTCTGTGCCTTTGCACAGGCTGTCATAGTCCCCGACCCCCGTTCACCCCACTTCCCCCATCCCTTCCATGCCTGGAATGCTCTCCCTCTTCACCTCTTAGTTCCCCTGGCTTCATTCAAGGCTCAGCGCAAATTCTACAGGATGCCCTCCTCTTCCAACTGCCTCTGCTCTCATAGTTCCTTTGATCAACTCCATGCCTGCACGTGCGTGCGCGCGCACACACACACACACACACACTTTTTTACCATTGGAATGCAAGGTCGGACTCTTTTTGCCTTTCTTTGTATGTCCAGCACACAGCATAGTGCCTAGTATTTATTAAGTGCTTAATAAACGCTTGCTGAGTGACACTCCAACATGGCAATGAAGTGCTCTTGTGTCCTCAGAAGCTGTACCTTCAAAGAGAAAAGTCTGATAAGTCTTAGCTAGCTGATAGAGCTCTGAATATGGGCCCAGTACTAGACTATATGTCTGTTTGGAGGGAGCTGGTGGAGTATTGGATAGAGTGTTGGGCTCTATCAGGTCAGGAAGACCTGAGTTCAAAAGTGACCTCAGATACTTTCTGTGTGACCCTGGGCAAGTAACTTAACCTCTTTTTGCCTCAGTTTCCTCAATTGTAAAATAGGGATAATCAAAACACAAAGTTATTGTGAGGGTCAAATGTGATAATCTTTGTAAAAGACTTAGGCGCTACTAAAATGCTTATTCCCTTTCTTTCTTCCTTTCTCCCCCACTCCCTTCACTTGTCATCTCTGGAAGAACCTAGCTAAGTTTGAAGAGTTTAATCACCAGGAGGTTAGCCAACAGGTCATAGACCTTCTTATGGCCACATCAACATGTGAAGGGCTTGCAATCAGTGTTGGTAGGGAGCATCCATACCTTTGGATGGACTGGATTTGAAGTATCCAATATTTAAAAAGATCCGGACATTTTAAACACATTTTAGAATGTGTAAATATTATCCTTTGTTTTCACTACATGACCACCCGCCTCCTTTTTTCAACCATACATTTCTACTTCTTGCACTTCAGGAACCATTAGAAATATATGTTAGCCTACTTAACACTCATCATAAATATTTACACTAACTCCTGGTTTTTGTGTTTGTGATTATTATGTTGTAAAATATGTAAGATAAACCCATTGCAATCAAGAATAAAGAAACTATGTGACATTGTGTACTAAATGAATGACCTGGATTTAATTACATTTTTGTTTTCTTCCAAGCTTTATTTTAGGATCCCAGATTACACACTCACTGGGTGTTATGCAGATCAGCATTCAGTTCAAGTGTTTGCGTCAGGAAAACCTAAAATAACTACGTGTAAGTTCCCTAGTTTTAAACTGAACTGAAGAAAATGTAACAAATATTTCATTAGAGTAAGACTTCATATATTGTGATGTGGTCCCAGTATATTAAATGTAGGAGGTTTGGAGGACCTTCCTAAGACACTTCTGTTCTTGTTCAGCCCATCGCATTCAGATCTCTGCTTTCTTGTAGCTTACAGAGCAACCCACTGAAACTGGATATGTGAAAGGGGAAGAGCTATGATAGCTTCAGCTGGATCAAAAACTAGATTTCTTTTCTTCTTAGTAATTTTTTTTTTTGCAAATGATTCCTACTATAATAATGTAAGTGGTTTTTTACCTTTAAGAAAATGTTTTTGCTAATCAGTATTTACTGAGCGCCTGCTATATCAGGCAAATACTAAATACAGGTACATGATTCGTCATCACAAAGCAGCTTGTCAACAAGCTTAAAATGATATGCAGGTTAAGTACTGAAATGACATAGAATGAAGAAGTAGTGACTTGGATTCAGTTAAACAGAATGTATATAATTTATATATCCTGAAAGAGAATAATTTTTTTAAAATTTTTACATGTATTTGTTTAAGCTGGTGGATAGAAATCCTAGGGTGCCAGGGAAAAGGAAAAAGAGCAAAGTGAATGAGATCGTCATTTGAGAGTTCTCAGGGAGTTTCTTGGATTAGAGTTACAAAATTCAAAAAGACTGTGTGCACTGCATGCACAAAAGTGAACTGGTCTCCTTTAGTTGGTTGGCTCTGCTCTTTTCCTGTATTATCTCCATCTTTTCTTAAAGATGTACTTCTTCCACCTCTAAAAATCTCTGATTTGCTTCGTGATACAGTTTAAGTGCCACCACAAAGCCTTTCCTAACACCCAAGCTGCTAGTGCTCCCCTGCCCAGAGTTATCTTTAATTCATTTTCTACATATTCCATATATGTACAACCTATCATCCCCTTTAGATTGGAAGCTCCTTGGAGGCGGGGACTGTCTTTTACCTCTTTTGGTATCCCCAGTGCTTACCACAGTGCCTGGCACGTAACAGGTACTTAATAAATGTGAATTGAATTGAATTGTTTCATTTTTGTCTTTGTATAGCCAGTACACATAGTAAGTCTTTAATAAGTGCTTGTTTGTTGATTGATTTCAGAGAAAGTTGACCACAAAGTATGCTGAAGTTTTTATGCTTTGTTAGAGATAAATCATGGATGTTAAGAAAAACCATTGTGGAAGGCACTGGTGGTAGCTGACAAACATCATTTAAGACTGTATAGCTCTTGAAGATGAATTGGGTCTAATTGAGTCCATGTCTAAAACATCTTAGGTATTCACTCTTAAATAATTGAAATATATTGAAAAATAATTTTCAGACGTGTATCCTGTTATTAGGTGACCAGCCCAATGCATACCTGTCATAATTTTAAACAAAATGGAGCCCATTTTAAAGGTACCATCAAGTACAGACCAATTCCTTTCCACTATTCATTTCACAGCTTGCCATAATGGTAACAATTATTACTCAATCTTCGGCCATTATGGGCTATCACCATATTATAATATTCAAAAGTTACAGCATGGTTAGGAGAGCAGTAATCTTTTTACAGTGTTCTAAACTATGATATTCTGTAGCTGGGATGAAGAAAAGTGTTATGGGTTATACTTGTTTAATAAAAGCTACAAAACTGAATGTTGCAAATGTAGAAAGATGAAATTTAAATTGTACTAGGGAGCCCGCAAAGGCTCCCATGTGAATAACTTTGTAACAAGTAATTAAGAGAGATTATTTTAGCTGAGGTGTTTTAAGTGAATGAAAAGGTATCAAGGTCAGAATAAGGGATACTCATCAAGAAGTTGCAGTAGTGAAAATGGAAACTGATTCAAGTGTAAGTAAGGATTTTGCTATGCGGGGAAGGGGTTAGAAGTAGAATGTCCACACTGAGGAAAATGGCAGGATTTGGAGTAGCAAGAGTCAGGAACATTTGAATAACACTTTGTATTATAAACTAAAAACAAGCAGATTAACCAGGGGGTATTAAAATTTGTTAAAGCTTCTGTAGTATTATAGTAGTAGGTAGCATATTGACGTATTGATAAATGAAATTAGTAAGATATACATGAATATTATTAAAATTATTTTCAAATGCTATTTGGTATCATTTTTAAAGTCAGAACTTCATAAAAGAATTTGTGCATTCAAAAAATGTATAATATTGTCTCTTGTTTCCTTTGTAGGCCGGGAATTGATTTCATCTGATTACTATATCTGGAATTCTAAAGCCCCTGCACCAGTAGCATATAGATCATTATTTCTGTAATTTTCTAATATTTAAAAAGGGGAAAATTTAACTCACATTAACATAGTTAAAATAAAATTACTGTGTTTTATTTTTTAATATGTACATTTCTCTCCAATGGGAATGAATCATGGATCAATTTCTCTTTTAAAATGGCAATGTGTTTGCTCTCATGTGTTTTAAAAGAAAACATTTTAAAAACTGATTTTTTATTCTGTGGCCTTTTCATGATTTCCTTGAACAAGATAGATCACATAATGGAAAAGAATATAGTTTAATGGGAAAGAGCCTGGGATTTGCAGCCAGAGGACCACAGTATAAATCTCAGCCCTGCTACAAATAGAACCTTGGGCAAGTCACTTAAGCACTCTCTAGACCTCAGTTTTCACCTTTGTAAAATGAGGAAGCCATACTCTAGAACCTGTAATAGTGACTTTTAGGCTGTGTATTTCAGTACCTTACACAGGGCGAGCCCCTCAGTAAATGTTAGCTGATGTTGGTAGTAGTGGCTGCATTAGAAACAATGGCTGTCTTGGACATGTAGTCTTATAAAAGGAGGAAGTTATTTTAATGTGAAATGTTGATAGAAACTGCATAATTCAGTTGAAGATGTAAGCGTGCTTATTCATCTTCCCTAGTAAAGTTTTTTTTCTTTGGAATGACATTGAGTATATTAAAAGGCAATAAAAAGCCCTCTAATTAAAAGGGCTTGATAACCTGCTGTTTTTCTGTCTTAATTTTTGTAAGATGCATATATTGCTTTTATTCATTTTTTTACTACATTCAAGAATTCAGTTATGAATGAATTGATGTAAAAAAGTTAAAAACCATCCTTTGTGTAGAAAGTATCATTTAACATTTCAATTACAGCATATTGTTTTTAATCTTTTTCTCTGATTTCCATTGATATCTTTTCTTTTTTTTCCAAAAATCCATCCATTTTTGTTGTTCTTTCCACCATTGTTCTTTCTCTGTTCTTTGTCATCTTCCATGTTCTTGGTAACTAGTAGTTATGGTGGCTTTAGGTGAGCATTTAGTTTAAATCTCTTCAGTCTAAGTATTTTTCCATAGGCATATCTTTTTTAAAACTAAACGTCAGCAGCAACATGACACTGCTTTGGAAAATGACCAAGTACTAATGCCGGATATATTTATGATACTTTGCTTTTTAAAGATTCTAAGAAGAAAAATACTGCAGAAATCTTGTAGCTCTTTTGAAGGAGAGCAATGGAACGGCTTGAGGGCAGCCTGAAACCTCCAGCTTTGAAATGACCATTTCTTCATTATTATCACTTAGACTACCCCATTATTAATGACAGCTGGCCTTTTTAGAACAGAAAAGGCAACAATTTTCCATTCAGCAAGTTTGAACTCTTTTCTACTGCAGGAATATCATTGTTTAGATCATCTGCAAACTAACCACCAACTAAGTGTCAGCATTAAAAACTAAATTGTCTGGAAGTACTGGTAGCTTACCCAGCTACCTACTTTTACATAGTTTGAGTTAAGTAGGAGATTCATACTGATTAGTGGGAAATTTTTATGTAATTGACCTCTTTTTAGAAACTTTAAATAGAAACCACAGTTCTCTGGTTTGAAACCAGTTCTAGAAACCTGAAGGAAAATATAAAGAAGAATATGAAAGATATATGGGGAATGAAATGTGATACCATCAGTTGCCTTTCAGAACATTACGTACTAAGACCAATTCCTATTTTCATCCCATTGAGATCAGCTGAGTACACTGTGATACGTTTGATTTTGTCTAGAAACTTGTCACTTCAGGATAATTTCTGAAGACAAAGTCTATTTCCCATTTTGTAGGTAACCTGTTTAATGTTTTCCCTGTGTCTGGGAACTCCTTAGTGTAATTAGCGACCTTTGAACTCCACAACTAATCCTGAGCTATTTTGTATTCCTTACTCATCTTTAAGGCTGGACCTTTCTTTTCTTTAGAGTCCCTTCCACAATTAAAGAAGAAACAGCTGCATTTCAAAGGGATTCCGATTCTAGAAGCTTAATCGTGATTGACATGTTCTTATTCTAAGCTATAAGACGCTCTAAGAGTCCTTTCTTGGGTTAAAACTTCAATCATTTTCTAAAAAATTATCTCAATATGGATTTTATTCATTTTCTTTGATAACCATTCTTTGCATTTTTTTTAAACTTGAAAGATGCTTTGGATTTCCAATGAATACAGGAATTGCTTTCAGTGAAAGACTGAATCATATTGGACCTAGTCTAGATGCAAGAATAAATTACTTTTAGTGTCAAAATATGATTATGAAATCTGATGTCTGCTATGTAGTTAGCTTCTTCAGGGTGCCTAATAGATACAGAAGGTGTAAAACTTCTAGAAAATGACCATTAGAAAAAATATTTATGGCACTGATATTTTAACTTGTCTTTTTAATCTCTGTGTATTTTGTTGTTGTTGTTCTGAGGCAAATATATATGCTCCAACCTTGGGCTGATGATTGCATCAACTAATGCATCTTTTGGTCTCTCAATATCTGGTCTGAATATCTTCACCTGTTGTAAACAACGTTGTCAGAGAACCTTATGAGAATTATTTCTGGATAATGCCTGTTGCATTATTGTAATTCCCTTCTTATAGATGCCAGACTGCCTTAAAATTTCAAACCCATAATAATGTTTGTGGTTTCCTATGTTATCAAATAATACTAAATTTGAAAGCAAAGTTTATAACTTCTCCTGTTTTTTAAATTAAAGACCTCCAAGCACTTTCTAGATATCATAGAACCTCACCTTTTAGGGTTAAGGTCGATAAGTAGAATGATCATGAAGAACCACGGGGATTGCCGCCAGAACACAACAGTTGTTTCTAAGACAAAGGTCAAAAAGGGGGTGTTAATAAACAGTCCTCAGGTTTAAGGGACTTTTTTAAGGATTACATCTTAAATTCCAACAAATCAGATTTAGGAGTTACTACTGAAAGTGAAATTGATCCATCCCTCATCCAAACTTTGCAATACTTTCCTGTTCTGACATCATTTAGATAGTTAGCTGTATTATCAGATTAGAAACCATTGTACGGGGTTGCTGAAAGGAAAAGGAGGCAAAAAGCTAAACATGGGGTGAATTCTGAACCTTTTAACCTGGCTGAAGTACGTGGTCCCTGTTATGCAAATACCTTCAATCCTCTGCTAAGTTCGGTGGAAATAATTTTCTTGAATGACAGGTTTATTCAGCAAGGATTCAGTTGGTGATTAATCCCCCTTTGATCTAGGGTATTTCACTTAACTACCAGTTACCTCATTCTGACAAAGTGCAACTGAGATTAGGGAGATCACTAGAACACTACCAGGGTGTGCATTTATTCTTCATAACCTTTTAAAGCAAGGGCCAGGAATGCAATTTATTTTCCGTATTTGAAGTTGTAAAGTCCTGTCTGCTAAGTTGGAAAGTCAATTGAATACCAAATGAAGTTTATTTCTTATTTGATGGAATAAACATTTCCCTTTGCTGGAAGTGTAAGCTTTTTAAAAAGATATTCCAAATACAATTTAAAATGTTGTTTCATATATACATATGAAGAGTAGGGACACCTCGGAATCAAAGGAATGAACCGTTACTTTAGATGAGGAAAATGTTTAGAGAAGTTGCAGTATGTCATTTCTTTTCTTGTAGATTAGTACCACGTGGTATGTTGGAAGGAGATGTAGCTTGGAAAGAAATGTTTATAGTATGAAATTACCCACCGTAATATTTACTGGATTTTATATTATCTTGGGGGAGGAGAAAGGGAAGTCTTCCCAAACATGCTTGTCCATTGTCAAGAATGATAACATAAATTGAACATGTAAACAAGGCAATAAATTTTAGAAAGAAAATGTACCGTTACCAAAATGCAAAAGTCAGCTGTTTTACACATTCTTTTAGTTTTTTCTAAAACACAGTTCTTCCCTTTGATGATTAATTTGGTCTCTCAAACTTTATTCATATATGTTCTAAATTATTTTAAGTTTCAGAATATTGGGAGAACTTTCTCGATAAATATAAAACAGTTTCTTTTTTTCTTAAAAATAATAACCAGTTTCATTATTTGTAACATAAAATTCTCATTTTTCAGAGGATGTCTTCCCAAAAGATAATCACTATCTTTAGTTAAATTCCATTTTAGAATATTAAACTTTTTTTAAGCTAGCATGATTTTTTTGTTACTCAGAAAGTCAATTTTAAAGCCTAAATATTGGTTAATGACTCTTAATTATATTTACATTTAAACTTTAACTTCATCATCATTTATTAATGATCTTTAACCAGTTTGCTGTGTAGTATGTTAGATATTTGGAAATACAATTATTTTGCGTTTTTTTTTCTTTTAGTAAATCAAGCATTTATTAATCACTACAGTCACTCTGTTAATGCTCAAGGAATATAAAGGAAGGCAAAAGACAGTTTCTGCTTTATTGCGTATTTTTATTTGGCAAATTGACTGAATTTTCCCAACTGCCTCTAATGTTTAGTTAACAAACTAGCATGCTGTATGCTCCCTAACAGCAAATCATTTGAGTAACATTGTAGAATTAAAAGTTTAAAAAATTCCTGTTAATATACATATTTGCATGTATATATATCAAAAAGGTTTAAAAAAATGTTTTTTCAGTAATCTATGGATTTAAATGTTAATTATAAAATGTTCTATTTAACTGCTGTATATTTGAAAACACACGAAATACCTACAATATCTGTCAATAGGCTACTTCAGGAGAACATTTATATGTAAGAGATAAAGTATCCATAGTATGTGTCATTTCAGACAAGTAAAGGAAGTAAATATTTTAAAGTTAAAAATTTCATTTCCTTAATTGAACTGCCAAAAATGCCAGGGTGCCAATCCATATTGAGATTTCAAAGTTCTTAAATGAAACCATTACTAATCAAATTACTATAGTCATATAATTTGGATTTTATTAAATCAACTGACAATTTTAGCTTGGCTTAAAAATGTTCACCAGCTGTTTCTGCTCGCTCGTGTCGTGTCTATGAGCAATTGCAGTGAGCAGCAATAGAAATAGACTTCCAAAGATATTTCAGTTATTACTACCCTTGTAATGATACTGCTTTTATGCCCAGCTTTCTTTCAAATGCTAAACCAGTAGGCCCTGTCTAATCTACGTGATTGAATTATGCCATGTTCTTAATGTGTGATGCATATCCACACACAGATTAGGGAAGAGGTGCTTCAGATGAAGACCCCCTTAATGAATTTCCTTCATGTGTGGGTCATGGAATATTTTCTGGAGGGTGACCTATTTAAAACAACCCCATTTGCAAAGCCAAATTGCAAGAAATTAGGATGCTTGACATATTTTTAATAATAGTCATTAAAATAATATATATTCAATAAAAATATGATTCTTAGGGCTAAAAAAAAAAGCCCTTTTTCCTGCAAAGAACTTTTCTGCCCTCTGGTGGTTATAAGGAAAATAGCTAAAGACAAGACTCGGACTATATTTCTATTTCCATCTAATTGCTTAACTGTATGCTACTGCTATTTTAAGGGAAGGTTTGGTCCAGGTTATTTATAGACATCTCTATTGCTTTACTGAGGATCAATGTGGGTGTTTCTGGTTTAGTATATCATTCAGTGAGAATAATTGTACCATCATTTAGCTTTGTAGACCAAGAGGAAGCTTCACTAAAACAAGCCATTTAAAAATTGGATCTGTGAAGAAATACATTATAATTTTTTTTCCACATGTAGGAAAAAGAAAATATTGGGGGTATAAATAATGATAGGATAAGTTATTGTAGGATATGTACATATATATTTTTTTTCTTTTAGGTTTTAAAGTACTTTTCAAAATACTATAAAATTTGCTTTTTTGACATTTACCTATAATATGAAATAACTGTCCAGAGTCCTATTCCTTGTAGAATATGCACAGTCCCTAATTAAGAAAATGAGAATTGTCTGTTCAAAATCAAACTTTGACCAACTTTTTTATTTTAAAAAAAAGTTATGATTGCATAAATAATGATTTGGTATTATTGGTTGCATGGACCAAATAATTAGAAACATTATTTTACTCTTTCAAAGGAAACAACAAAGCTGTCTTTAGAAATACCAGTTCTTTTTAATGTTTCCTTACTTCCTCAGCAGGTGTAGCTGAGATGCAATGTATCTATTTTTGTTTTGGTTTGTTTTTTGTTTTTTAATTCAAAACAATAGAACTACATAGGTTGCCAGTAGCATTTTTGATTGAATTAATTTTTCCAAAGGAACTGCCAAAGAAACTAAATATGACTAGAATCAGAGAAATTACTGGACCAGATTAATAGAAATAGATCTTTTTTCAGACTCCATAATGATCCTGATCACCAACCTTGAAAAGCAAATTAGAACAAGCAAATTGCTGTTGAAAAATTCTTTCAGCACTGTGATGTTGCTACTCAGCTCGCCGTTGCTCAGTCAGAGGTTTCGGGGGAAAAAACATTAACAAAGAGAACGTTAAAGCTAACATTTACATCTATTTATTCAAGTGTTCAAAGAATATTAGCTGCTGTCTTAAGTGAATTTACCGTTCTTCAGGCCACGGTCCAGTGTAGCACTGATCAAAATGACTCATATGCACAATTGGTTTATAAAGCCAAATGTAACTCAATGTCTTTTTTGCTCTTATTAACTGAAAAGTCATTAAGATTTTATTTTAAAAATGCATTTTAAAAGGATTTTAATATTTGGAAATGTGTTTTCAATGAGAAAAAAAATGCTTTAGCTTAAAAAACCTCTTTCAAAAAGACAAGATTCAAATGAAAATTCCTTCCAAGTGTTTCATGTAACTTTCATTGTGGTAATTAAAGTGCAAAGGAACTAATCAATTGAAAATGATATGTCAGACTTAAGATGAAAACACGCGTGACTGTTGCTTAAATGGATATGTACTCAAATATGCAAACTGTACTTTGGGGAAATATCTGCTGATGACATGTCGAAATAATCTCTTCAAGAACTAGAACTACCTGAAACTGCTTTTTGAAGCCTAGCAGTAAAAGCACTGCAAGCTGCAATTGTGCAAATTTGTGTATGGGTGTGATCATTTAAAAGGTTTTAATAAATGCCCTTGATAGTGTTACTGTTAGAAAAAATTCAAATAGCAATCTAAAATTCGGGGAGGTGGGAGTGGGGAGACACTCATCCATAGTGGCCAATTTGAAGGTTATGGTTGATATATATAAGAGCACATGGTAGGTGCTTAATAGGTGTTTATTGATTAATTGGTTATTGATATATGAGATCTCACAAGGGTTAAGATGTACCTTTCTTTTTCAAATAGATTAGTCAAATAAAATTTGCTATTGGCCTGCTTTAACTCAAACCAAATGTTCTGCCAGTAAGACTGTCTACTTGTGAAGAGCACTTTCTTTATTGATTCTGTTTCTATCCAGATGAGTTCAAATCTACTAGAGGAATAATCAGAAGATCCAAGTGTTAGTGTTAAATCTATTATTTTCTAGTCATAGGACTCTGAGCAAATTATACTCTCCTTAAGCTGTAGTCTATTCATCTGTTAAATGGGAGCAATAATACCTGTTCTGCCACTCTGGAGAGCCCATTTCAATATTCTTACATGACAGTGCAGCTACTTCTTTGGGAAGATGGGACAGGATTGAGATGAAGGATGTAAAAGTGCTTTATACAGTAGTCAAAGTACTATTGAAATGTATTTTTAATTACC